CCAGCTGCTGGAAGGCGGGACTCGTCAGAGCGGCTACGGTGTCTGCATGAGCATGGGAACAGTGCAGCCCGTTACCAGCCAGCGTCCCGGCTTGGGGCACTCCCAGAAGGATGTGCCTGACACCCACACTGACACACCCTTCAAAGCACCTCACCATGCCTCCTGTTAAACGCCACCCAGCGAGGCTTACTGACGCCACGGGGCCCGTGGCCGTGCCAGGCGACTTGTCTGCTCGCTGAGCCCCTCCTACCCCAGTCACGACGACGGATCTCTGCCTTGTAAGTCGTTCTGATGCCACGCGAGGTGCGGCAGCTGCTGGCGAGACTCGTCATCACCTGGGAGTCGTGTGGATGTCGACCCGGCTTCCGGTGGTGTCAATTTTTTTGTAAATTACTGGGAGGCCGAACCGAAGGCCCAACAACCTGCCCCCCCCCCCCCACACCCATTTTCTCACAGGATTTAGCCCAGTTTATTCTGATTAAAGCAATATATGTTTTTAATATTTGCATATTTCATAAAATTCGTTAATTTAAGCAGTACAGAAGTCATGCAGGGCTGCATCCAGGGAACAGGCACTGGACGCACGCGTCTCTTCTGATCGGCACGTGAAGGCGCTCCTTTAGAGGCCACCTTGGGGCGCCGATGGCGCTCTTCTATGGCGGTCATGGGAGGCGGCACGCATTTTGGTTATGGGGGACGAGGACGGGTTAGCCATGAAGGACTCAGGCCATCCCCATATTTCAGAGCTTTTCACTTTAACCTTACAAGCCATGGCTTGTCTTATGGCGCTAGGTATGTGAAGTTTGTTGCATCCTTTATCCGCTCAGCTGTCACGATTTGCATCTTGCGGTGAGAGCAACCATGACTTCTTGTTATGAGAGTGGTACGAGACTCTACGACGCAGAAAGTTCAAAGAAGATAGTCTTTATGTTATTATCATCTTTTACTCACATTCTTTTGCAGTATTCCATCCAAGAACATTGGGGGGCCAAACCAACATGGGGGGGGGGGGGCAACTCAACAATAGGGGGCCAGAGCGCTCACAAAAGAATATAAATTGACAGCCGTGCCGGCTCCGAATGGATATTCGCCCTCGATTTCTGCGTTGAGGACGCAGTGGCAGACCTGATTCTCCAGCGCTTGGAGAGGTAGCACATATTCACGCCTTCTCACAGCTGTCGTGGATGTTGCGGCAGATGTATATATTGCTCTGCCCGCGTTATCCTCTACTTGTAGAGCAGAGCCACCAACGTTATTCTTCACCTTCAGCGGCCCGTGACCCCGCAGGGAAAACTTCCTTGTCGTCAGCGGCCCTCGACCCCGCAGGGAAGACGCATTATCGACGGGCGGACGGGTCAGAGGACGTTAAAACGCCTGGCGGCACGTAAAAGCCCGCCAGGTGAAAGGTGACCCATTCTCCTCCACGCACTGCGTGCGTCGTCTGCCCCGTATGCTGCTGCGACACCAAAAAAACTATATCCCATTACTCTAGCGTTGCGTGTGCCGCGGCTCGTAGTTCGCAGACCCGCTGCGATGTGGTGCTTTCAACGTTTCATCCATCGGTGAGAGTTGTGTTTTGTTCTTCCTTGAGGGCGCTATCGGATAGCCTCCGGGGAAACCATAAATGTGGTGCGGACTCAGGTCTACTTCCACGCGCGATCTCTGTCGGAAATTAGTTTGCAATTTTCGTCCCGGATGACACTGATATTTGCGCAGAACACAGAAGGTGGTAATTATTTTCCTTAAAAGAACATATTGCATTTTTCTCGGAATGGCTTCATTATAGAAAGCGCACTGACTTCCGAGATGGAAGAGAATACTATTATTTGCGATGGTGCGTGCTTTAAATCACGCTAGCGTATAAGAACTGCTTCAACTTTATTTCATGAGTTTCTCTGTGATATGCCTTGAGAACACGCTCATCTGTTTCATCAAGGATGCCGTACCTCTGTATTGCCTCCACTCTAGGCTACAAAATCCATTTCAGGTTCAATGATTGAGCAATGGGCTGGATTGGATGACTCAACTCACGGCTCATGTTACCAATGATTCCAGATATGAGACATTGCCATGGCCACGTAAGGCCATTTTCAGCAAAATTGTAATGACGCCCGGACTCCCATCGTCCTGTTAACTTTTCTGACAAAGTAGGCTATGATTCAGGTATTTTGGAAAGCCTAGACTATCTCTTGGACCCTTATTTTTAACCCAATACCGGGATATTTTGGTTAGACTGGTAATTAAACTCCTGATCCCAAAGACTTCATGATGTACTAAATGACAACGTGGATTGTTTCTGAACTCCTCACTCATTTGGTAAGACCAACCTCCATCTTGAAACTATTTCTCTACACTGAATACTATATGCTAGCTTCGTTCGAGATATCAACCCTTTACGAGAAGCTGGAGGACTGGAAATCCCATCTGCTTACTTTCCAGGCCAATGCACATCAGCATGGCGATTTACTGCAGGGCGTCCATGCCTGCGGCGCATGTGACGCCACCTATTGCTGGAATAGCAACGTCACGTGGCGGTAATCAGCGCGCGCCACCACGCCGGAGCAAACGCAGGTGACAGTCATTATTTTGAAAAAAAAGTTTTTACATGCACCCGATGTAGCAAATCAGTTCCGGAGGGGAGTTAATACTGGAGGGGAGCTAGCCAGACTGCACCACACACGTTTTGTCCACCTTTATCATCGAGCGGGCTCTGGCACCATTCCTCTGGCACTACTGGCATCATCCGCGAAAGTTGAGGTACCCATGTCTTACCACACTCCACGTTTTAGCCAAAGGAATCGTGGTGTCTGGTGTTTTCTGTGTTCATGACACGTACTTCTCAGTTCTCATCAAGCTTATTGCACAAAATCATTTTGCGTCATTTCGTGACGTAGAATGTAAATGCAGGAATTGAGCTGTTCCATAAAGTTTCGAGCAAGTCTCAAGATTGTTTTAAATTTAGTAACATAGATTATGCAAAAGTATTAGGCGCATCACAGCCACGCCTATGCGTGCTGTTGACTATGAACTAGGTATATAATGCATAAACAAACGTAGTTTAAGCAAACACCACATTCAGATGCAATGCAATACAATGTTGCTGCATGCAAGCAACCTCTTTTGGACCTAGCAATATGTTTGGCCTTGAGTTGCTCACCTTAGACTTTCGTCATTGCTATGCTAGAATCTTGGCGTTGTAGAGCAAGCCTTATGTTCTATGCACCTAATATTTTTTTCCGGCTTCTGCCATCAGGTGACGGACAGACCTAACTTGTCAGGATCGCTTATTTTGTAATTGCCTTTTTAGTTCATAAAGGATTGTTTAGGTAGGCAAAGCTACGCTAGGCGTTGCCTACCTAGGCACAGCTCAGAAATTTCAACGCTACCTCAGTCGTAAGTCTATGCGATGAGACTGTGGTGCCATTAGGTTTTAACACGTACTCGGCTGAGGGTCAAATTGACCCCCCGAAGGTTTTTCTAGAATGGTTTCTGAACAACGCGGCGTAGCCACGTCAAATTTTTTATGGCTGTAGGTGATTGAATAGTGGATCGTTTGGTCTAAGGAATTAAAATATCTCGTAAGGTCGCTGACCTATGGCAGGTCAAAGTCAGGCCATGGTTTCGACGAGGTCAATTTCTATGGAATCCTTTAATCTGATGCAACAACGGAGTGCTGGATGAGGCCATACATCTCTGAGATGTTTTCTTAGGCAACAAAAATATTTAATGAGCAAATTACGCTGACCTAAGGTCAGATATGAAGGTCGGACCAAGGCCAAAGCCAATCTGTTTTATTACTCTAGGGCTTGCGGTATGGGATAGCTTCTGGTGCTCATTTCGAATTTATTGATGGCAGGAACCGCATTATGCATCTTCCATAGACTTCTCAGAGGTCAGAGTAGGTCACTGACCTAAAATGACCCAGGTCAGTATTTTTTTTTTGCAAACATACTGCCAAGCATAACCTTTGTCGCTTATTCAAATGCAAAACTCAAAGCAGTCTTGCACGATTTTGGTCACCATAACCTTCAAAAGGCCAAACAAGATCACTGACCTCAAATGACCTTTTATTCAGAAACAGTTGTTTAGGTTCTGGATACACTTTGGAGACCAATCAGGAGTTTGACCTTGTTTGACCTTATTTAACCCAAAGGTCATGACCTAGCAACCTCACATTTTGACCTAAGTGAGTTTACGTACAAGTCTACGCACCCCATAAATTGGGTGTTTCTAGCTTTCTTAGTTCCCAAAATCTCAGGGGGTCAGACTGACCCCCCACCCGAGCGAAGGGTATCTAACCGGCCATCCGGGCGCGTGTTAAAGAAAATGGCATTTCATGAGTTATTAAGTACATTTGTGAGAAACATTATGCATATAGATAAGACAGCTCTAATAAACTTATTCCTTGTTCACTGACAAAGGGAATTGACAGAAAGAGGAAAGGATATTTCGGCTCCGTGCCTTTATCGAAATGAATATGTGACGATAAAAGCGTGTAGCTAAAATATCAATGAGTCTGTCCTTCCATTTCCCGGGTTGTTCTACGAAGAATACGGCTATTAGCACTGCCTTAGCAAAGTGGCATTTTTGCAATACATGTGCCTGGCCGACAAGCTCCCACCATTTTACTTAAGAGCTCTTAGCTATGGATTGGTAAACTGTCTAGAGTGAATACTTCAGTAACCTGAATTTTATTATTTGAAGTCGGTAACCCCAGTGCACACTGTAGTAGCACATATGAGTATCGCGTTGCCAAAAATGCATTTTTACCCCCTCATCTATATGCGGTGTTGTTTCCGCGTGCTCGAAAGGATTAATAATGAGCCCATTCACTAGCACAATACACGGTGAAGACCGTGTTGTCCCTAACTGCCTTCAACTCGACATTGGGTGGTTATCATTTATATCTTGGGCACCTACAATAATAAAAACACCTCTAAGAGCTGACCAAACATAGCTATATATTGTACGACTCACGGGCACAGGAACACTCAGCTGCATGACCTCATCAGCAGGAAATTGCTGCAGAAGCTCACCAAACGGTATGCTGTATTTCTTGCCTTGCGCTCTGAAATAAACATCAACATTCTCCTCACCGGTGGACGTAGTGATCATTCCAGGGATGTTCAACTTCAACACATCGGTGCGCTTGCCAAAACTGAGAGGCTGCAGAGGCGTCACGAAAGTGTTTGTGACCACCAAATCAACAGCAATGAATGTAACAAATGACCCCATGCGGGCTTTTCGTCGTGTCACACGTTCACTCCAGAAGTGAGAAAAAAGGACGACTTGGTTTAGGTTTGTCTAACATGGTCTACAAAGCACAACAGACCAACATGTATGCCAGCTCCACGAGGGGTATTCATTGGTATTACGCTTTTCGCTAATTACGCAGACCAGACGAGCATACTCGCTTCTAGCCAAAGTTTCAACCCATCACTCTTCTTTGTAACACCCTATACCATCGCCACAAACAAGCACCACCTGCATCCGCACCACGCAATCAACACAACGTCTATTATCCTAGGCCCAGGACCATCATCTTCCCAGCTTGTTTGCCCGCTGCGAGTCGCCACTGACCGCGAGGCTCTGTTTCACCGCTGCGCGCGCGCTCACAGGTGCCCCCTGCTGCTCCCGTCCCCTCGATCCAGCCCCAATCTGGGCCTGTTTGCGCCGGCTCGAGCCGGCAGCGGCCGAGGGCTTCTTCTTCATCATGCCGAGCGGGTCGGTGCCGAATCTCGCGAACACCTCCTGTTTGAAGGCGTCGAACAGGCGCCGGTTGCTGTTGTTCTGCATCTCGCGCCACGGGGGTCGCGCCTTCCTGCTCTGCAGGCCCCAGTGCACCGCGAACACGGGCGCCAGCACGTGGAATGTGTAGCCGGCGCACAGCGTCTCGTATGCCTGCAATGGGGCGGAGGAAAGCGTGAGACAATGACAAAAACAATTCAAGATAGCTAGACCTATTTTCAAGCCAAGGAGACATTTTTCTCTGTTCATTTCAAACCAAAAGACATATACGCGCACAGCTCCAAGGCCAAGGGCCTCCAAAGCGCCTTCAATGTCTCACTACTTAGTGAAGCCAACTTTGCTGCAACTTCAAAACACTTTGTTCATGCAAATTCCACGTAAATCTAGAAAGCGCAGTGCGCGGCATGCAGTACTGGACCAGCGGAGGGCAGACATTAGACCACGGCTGTGGTCCGTCGGGAAGTATCCGAAATTCTCAGCAAAATATGTGCGGTAGTTAGAGTGCTCCGGTCTGCGCCCCGACAAACCCATCTGACCTGAGTGTTCCGTGTGAAGCCGTAGCCGACGAAGCGTTCGTCATATTCGGGAACGTCACCCCGCGAGACATAGAACGGCTCGTAGAAGAACTCGAAATTGGTGACCGGGTGGATGATGCGGGTCTCTGTAAACTCCAGTACGTGTTTCTCCCACCTGTATCAGGAAAAATGCATGTTAGTGCCTCTATGTGCTCTTCACTTATGCGTATTGTCGACTGCTTATAATAACGCATAACACATTTAGCAATTCTAACGAATGTTTTTGATGGACAGTCTGTAGTGACATCATCTTTAGCTTCGATCTTTACAGGGACTGTTTTACATGTATATGTGATTCTGAACTGAGATTGCTGCGTTCAGGGTTATCCCACTGGGCTCCCACAAATTTGTGCAAACTTTTCACGCCGCTTAATTTGATGTGAACCACAAATAAATGACGTTATAGAAACGTCACACAAATTCTGCCTCTTCAATGGCCACATTGTGTTCAGGGCCAATAAAATATATGCTCATTGACTTAATCGTGTCTGATGTGCGTCAGCACGATTTGCCAAATCAATGGACACCGTTCGCTCTGAACTAGCTGAACGCATTCAATGCAAGTCTCGATTACGGGTATCGTTTTGCGATATTTTGCAGGCATTTGGGCAGTTCTTCTAGTGATGACGAACATTGGACTGGAAATCGAATAGATTAAGAATAGAGCCGTAACCGAGAAAGCAAATGCAGGTAAAATACCATCACAGACAAATATACCAGAGTGTTACGAAAACGGCAAAGGCGTGTGTAAATAGCAATGGTCGGTTTTTCACACACATGAAATAAAAAACCACCTCGCGGCGAGTTAAAGTACTACAAGTGAGTCAGCCCGTCTGCTGTAGCGGAATTTTGACGCGGCCAGTCTGGCTGCGGCTGTGACGTCATAAAACGTTTTTTGACGCAATCGAACGATGGCGAATTGAGGTGCATATCTTCCAAGTAGTGAAATTTTGTTATCTGTGGCAGTCTTCTGCCTTAGAAGCATGCCAGCATTTACAAGTGGGCTTTTCCCAAGACAGCTAATGTTTGCCTCAATATTTGCAAATGAATAGCATTCCATTTAGAGGAGCTGGTCAACATTCGCCTAAGCTTTAGCACTGAGACAGCTATTTCCATGATCATTTCCTGAAATTTGCAGTCATACACTTTTTAATGTTTCGAATTTTGCTGTTTCTGGGCTTGATACACGTGAACTTATGTCCCCTCTGGTGCGTTGCCCAAGAAAAGCCACTCATACATGTAGAACATCACAGAAACATCACGTGAGCACCCCACCTCACTGACTATGTTGTCCTTATGGTCTGTCAAGTGCGCCCACTTAGCCATTCGTGCTTGCAGTAATGCACCGCAAAGTGTCCCAACGACAGAAGGTCGCTGACTAATAGGCACATTTCGCTGCTGATTGCGTGTCTCGATCACGAATCGCGTTTTGTCATGCCTAATACAGACATTTGGGCCACAACTTTGATATGACAGGCGTGAGGCTGAGGATCGAATAAATTAAGAATAGCGCCGGAACCGAGAATGCAAGCGCAAGCAAGGCAGATACCATCACGGAAAAAAATTATACCCACATCACGAGAAAAGGCCAAAAATGCACGCATTTCAGCTCGCTTCTTGAGTTCAAGCACATAAATTCACAACATCACCTTGCGGCGCGTAGAAGTATTACAAGTGAGTCGCGTCATCCACTATAGCAGCAACTCCGAAAAAGATTGCTTGATGTTGGGAAACGGTGAAGTAATGAGGGCTATATTTACTAATAAGTGTTTTTTTTATTTCAAGCAGCCTTTTGCAATAAAAACCATGCCAATAGTTCCAAATGGATTTTTCCATGCAGCTAATGCTTGCCCCCAATACCTTTGCATGTGGAACAACACATTTAACCTAAACTCTCTTGAAATTTTCACGTACAGGAAATGTTACCTACTAGTGGCCGCAATTTATGGTCTCGCGTAACCCTATGCCTATCGTAGTCAGGAAATTTTGTGTGAAAATGACCCTAAGTTATCAACTCCAAGAGTGCTAGTTATGAGCCAGATGTTGCTAAAGCTCTGCAAATTATGATTTATGAGGTGAAACGTCCGAAAAGATGAAGGCTGGAAGGAATTGGTGATATATTTAAGGATTTGATTGTGTATGATCATAAATTTCGTTTAGAAATCATGGGTGGGCTTGGTACAGCTGACATTGGCAAACGGCTGGCGATGTATTGTGTAAAGTCTTCAAGCAATCTAACATAAGTAATAAATGGTAGCTTCTCTGGTACTTCCGTACTTCATTCCTCTGCTGTCCACCCCCCACTGTCCAACATCATTCCCTGCTTCCCATCATTATCCCAACCCCCCACCCCCACCCCACGTCAACCACCCACCGCGAGTTGTTGGTGGCAAACTGGTTGTGAAGAAACACCTTCTCGTGGAAGGGCCGCGCCTTGCGCCGTCGCACCAGCTCCAACAGCTGCGCGGCCGTCTCGGGGAACGGCTGCCGCTCCTCCACCTCATACGTAGGCACGACGAACACGCAGCGGCGGCAACCGGCCACCACGTCCGAGCGCACGAACGCGTCGAGAGCGCGCGCCGCGCTGGCCGCCGGCACCACGTCCACGTCCACGCTGTACACGAACGCCGTCTGGCTGGTCTTGCGCGCCAAGTTGCGCAGTGCGTTCTGCGGGTAGGCGAACCGCTCGCGCCAGGCGAGCATCTTGCGCGGTCGCCGTTGCAGGAGCAGGTTGAGCGCGTGGCGCGGCTGGTGGCAGGGTAGCGTGGGTCGGCCCTGGGCCGTGTCGGGCCGCGCCGGCCACGCCGCCGGAATCAGCAGGCTGAACGTGACGCGCTCGCGCACGGCGGCGCTGCAACGGCGCAGGTAGGCGACGTAGGTTCGCACGAGCGCATGCTCCACGTCCGGCGCGAACACGGCCGCCGAGATGGGGCCCGTCCAGCGCTCGGCCAGCTCGGCTAGCTGGGAGAGCCGATCGAGCGAGGCTTGTGTGGCCAGAGTGACGCTGTACTCGGTGGCCAGCCGCGCCTGGCCAGCGCCCAGCACGGCGAACGGCAGCAGCTGCCACTGGCGGTGTCGGTCCCATACCGGTAGCCGCGAGATCGGCCCGGCCGAGAACCCCGGTCCGGCCGACGACGACGGCGGCGGCGAGGCGCCCACCGCTAGCAGAGGTGGTGCCGGCTCGGCGGGCGAGACGGCACGGGCAGGGCGAGGCGCCACGACAGGCAGGGTGGCGGCGGCCGGGTCCGAGCCGCAGCAGTCCTCGTCTTCCGCCGCTGAGCGTAGACTGAGCAGACGCAGCGAGAGCAATACGTTGGACACCAGCACCACCATCAGTAGGCTGAAGAGGCGCGGGCTCCGCGGCCGGCACAGCATCTGCGGCAGAACCGGACAGAACCAGATGGAGACGGCCAGAACACGGGAGACCCGATGCCAGTTATATGGAGGGAGAGAGAGAGAGAGAGAGAGAGAGAGAGAGAGAGAGAGAGAGAGAGAGAGAGAGAGAGAGAGAGAGAGAGAGAGAGAGAGAGAGAGAGAGAGAGAGAGAGAGAGAGAGAGAGAGAGAGAGAGAGAGAGAGAGAGAGAAAGAGAGGAACCTGGTCAGAAATACGGTGGTGGAGTACCGCGTCTTGCGTCCTTGGATACTTAAATGAAACCCATGTAGCCATTGGGGGAAAATTTATTAAGAAAGTAAAATTACAAGCCAAGGTGCATGATTGGAAAACCTAGTGAGAAAAGTTCTTAAGTGAGCTGCTTTCATGTTTCCTCTCAAACATAAAAGTACACACTACCTGGCATTCGGTATTTTTCCGAAGTCAAGCTCGTGATCTTTTCGCTCCTGCGGTGCTCTTTGTGCACAAGTGCTTGTGATCTTTGTGCTCTTAGTGTAGGCTGTTATTTGGTGCCATACATCATTTAAAACTCAGTTATTTGAAGCGACAGGCAAACGATGAATTTCAACACTTGACAACTCTGAACAACGACCTCAAAAGAATTCAGGATTGGTAATTATCGCGACCACCGCTACTCTCGAAACAGTTGTATTGCCACTGTCATTCTCAAACTACTTTTCACCACTGTCAATATTGCTCGTTATGTAAACCCTAAGCACAGGAAAAGTGGGGCCAATGCACTGATTACCAGCTCACCGTGTATGCACAATGGACGTTAGCGCTTAAACGTGCGTATGATGTGCAGTGTAATAATGATCGTTGGTTTCAGCCAGCAGATAGGTCACAGCTTGTTCGGTACTCATAGCACATCTTAAAACTGCGAGATTATTGAAAGAGCTAAGGAATGTGGAGAGAACTACGGCCATTCCCGTGTCACAGTGATCCAGACTCCGAAGAAACGGGTGCCGTCGTACACTGGGTAGGGGTATGGGACCCAAGGATAGGATCGACTGCAGGACGACATTGTGACTCTCAGGAGCAGGACTCTTCGTGGGTGACCACAGCGAAAATCTCCTATGCCGAAGCATTGTGGGACGCAGGGTGGAGCATTGGAGCAGGCAAGTAGGAGGGCGGTTGTCTAAGAACATGCGATTGCATAAAATCTAAGTAGCTAGCTTCTAATTTAAGAAGCTAAGGTTTTGCTTCGTTCCGTGTCGTTTTCGTTTCGTTTCTTTTTCGTTCCATTGCCTTAGTACATGCAGCCCAGTGCCTTTACAAGGGCATTAGGCTCTAGGGACTCATCAGTGCCAAAAGGCTTGGCCGTGCTAACTGAGATCCACATTACATCGCTGGGATATGAGTGAATATTACGTCACTGGAAGCGGCGCCCCAGACGCCGACAGCCTGGCTTATTGACGCAACGGTTCAAGCGGGAACCGATCGTTTAACACGCGCTCGGGTGAGGGTCAGTTTGACCCCCTGAAATTTTCTCCAAAATGTTTTCTGATTGGCGCCGCGTAGCCGCACCAAATTTTGCATTCACGTAGACAATTGAATAGGGGATCGTTTGGTATCACGGATTTAGATGTACCTTGTAATGTCACTAACCTATGGCAAATCAAAGTCAGGTCATGGTTTTAGCGAAGTTAATTTCTAGGGGATTGTTCAATCTGATGCGACAATGGAATGATAGACGAAGCCATACACCTCTAAGATGCTTTCTTAGACAACAAAACAATTGATTGAACAAATTACATTGAACGAGGGTCAGGTATGAAGGTTGGGCCAAGGTCAAAACCAACCTGTTTTAATACTCTAAGGTTTACTGCATGTGGTAGTTTGTGGTGTTCAATGAACTTATTAATAATAGGAATCGCATAGCGCATTTTCCATGGATTTCTTAAAGGTCAGAATGGGTCACTGGCTTAAAACGACTCAGATCAACATTTTGTTTTAGGAACACACTGCATAGCATAATCTTTGCCGCGGATTCGCACAAAACTCGAATAATTCTTGTATGACTTTGGTCACCAGCATCTTTGAAAGTCCAAACAAGGTCACTGACCTTAAATGAGCTGTGAATTTTTGCTTAGGAGAAGTGTCTAGCTTGTGGGGGCACTTTGGACACCAGCCTGGAGTTTGACATTTTTGCCTTTGAATTTGACATTTTGACCTTATGCGACCCAAAGATCATATCCTAAAAACCTAAACCTTTGCAACAAGTGAGCTCACGTACAGGCCAATACATCCTGTGAATTTGGTGTCTCTAGCTCTCTTAGTTTCTGAGATCTCAGTTGCCCAATATACCACCACCCGAGCGAAGGGTATCCAACCGGCCACCCGAGCGCCTGTTAATCTAAGGCTGAAACAAAGCTTCGGCAAGACGAATGAACGATTAATTTCATTGTTCGCTGCCGGGTCATGGATCGATTACCACGAACACGCCACTTGTCACATTGCAAGGTGGGTACCATAGCAACGCCCTAACTGATGATCCTGTGGCCCTCGATGCCGTGGAAAGCAACTGTAACGCGAGCATTGGCTGACCTACAGCCGTAACGAGCGTGCCGTATACCGCGAGTGCTTTGCACGCATGCCGTGTTCAGCAACCATTTGACTTTGTCAGCAAGGCACTTAACATGCATATGATTTTGCTGTGCTTTTGATGGTGCAGCCAGCGATAAAGGTTTCTTTTACTTTTGTTTATTTTGCAAAAATCGGTACAGACCTTCCCATGGGATGGATTCTTGGATTAGTGTACATACTGAGTGGCGGGCCTGATTTGAGGAGGGGCCACTAGGCATTTTCAATATGATTAAAGCGGTGGAGGTCGAAATGATTCTTTAACTATCACGGTTCTGATTCTTTTCTTGTTAACTAATGTTGGGTGTCATTTCTTTGCCATTCCGCGACAGCCAGGGACGCGGGAAGGTGTCACAAGGGGACTATTTCAGCTTCAAATGTCAGTATTCACGATTGATCGCAAAGTATGGGAAAATGAAGGGCCTCATGATGCTGTACATGGACCCAGTGTTGACAAGGGGTCCCCAGGTCCACCTGAGGCGATATGCTTGACAGGCCCAGGGACGGAACACTGCCTGGCAGAGGGACTCTCTTAATCGGTGGCCCTCCGACAACGACAAAAGGCATGATAAATGACGACGGAAGTGTCCACAGTGAGACAATGGAAGACCTTGCATGTGAGACCTTGTGAGACCTTACGTTAGTCAGGTGGCCCTAGTACCGAATACGGGGGGGGGGGGGGGTGCTCTTGTCCTGTTTCGGCCGGGGGATTAATAAGTTGAACTGGGGTTTCTGCGATGATTATTGGACGCCTTGCACTGGTAAGGGATCATTTTGTGTCATTCAGGCCCCCCTGCGTCAGTGGACCTCAAGCGTCCCGTATGGAACGATGCGTGGTGTATCCCCCTGAGGACCTTCGGATCCACCTGGGGGCTTTGGACTTTGCTTCACCTGAATGGTTGCCGTTAGGTACACTGAGCTGGAACAGGAAGGTCCTCCAATACCTGACCCGGAAAATGTGATGGGCCACTTCGTGTTCTTCCCTCAGTGCAACTGCATGAAAAAGTAATGGGACGTGTAAGTATTCAACCGTCAGATCCGTCAACGCACGCGCTTGATAGGGCACATACTGATGAATTAAAAAGCGCATATCATGGTCAGCGACTTGGTTTTGCCCAGCCTGGCATTGGTACCTGGCTGAGCAGCGTTTGTTGCGGGAGCGCTGACCCCAGCATACGACCGTGGAATTCCGAGTCAACAGCAGAAGTTTGCAGCGGAGCATGCCCCGATGCTCGGCACGGTCCTCCTGTCGTCTGTCACCTGAGCCTTAGCATGGCCGCTGTCACCGACCGCAGGCCACCCAGTCAGAGGCCAATGGTGAGCGCCAGCAGCGACTGCAGTCTCGAACGCACCTCGCCATGGATGGGTGAATCGGAACGTAGGCGCTCTCACCAACTGAGCTGTCGGGACGGACAACACCGCTACTCCAACGGTTGAGTGGTAACTCAAGCTCCTAAATTTAAGAGAAAAGTTGGCCAAAGTCGGGAAGAAACCGGTTTTTGTTTATTTTGTTGATATTATATGGGGATTTTCAGCTATCTTTAACTTTTCGACCTCCACCCAAATCATGTTACGAAAGTGCGTCTTAGGGTTCATTCACACAGCACACAGACGTATGATGTGCCAAAGATCATAGTAAGCTGCCATTGCGTTTGCAGCAAAACGTTTGGAATGGTTTGCAACTGAACCACCACTGCCAACGGTGATTATAAGCGCACTCGTCCAGTGGAAAAATAACAAACCACTAAGTAAAGTTAGTTTTCAACCGCAAGAACTTCGACCATGCATCCAATCTGGTGAAGAAACTGCGGTGGTGTCGTGCCAGGAACCTAGCCAAGCACCGCACACTATGCCTCGCGCACGAGGTGCGCCGTTACGAGTCAGCGGCGCTAGCTGCGCCCCCCCCCCCCCCCCCTTCCCCGATGCGGAGACCGGAGACGGGACCGCCCGTCAGGACCATCACTTGTGAGTACCCCGCTCTCACCTCGAAATGTGGGGGGGGGGGGGGTTCTCCTTCCGGGATACGACCCCTCACAGTTGCCACCCGAGCCTCTGCGGTTGCCCGCGCCCCGCCATTTATCCATCACCTAAGACGATATTTGTCCAGTGTGGCGCCTTTGCGAGGCTGATGGGATATCCCTCCCGAACGTGCTGGATTTAGTCTTACTATGACCTGTATGCTGCGGAGGTAGACACATTCTGAGGTGGTGGTCTGTTTCTGACGTTTTAGCTCTTTCGCGAGAACCCACGAGACAATGTGGTTTGCTTTAATCACAGACTTTTCTACTACAGCATCCTAACACACAAAAGACACTTCCCCACAGCCGTGAGGCACGGAGAGATCTTTGTCGAAACGAAGGTATGTGTCCTGATCGATAGAAGTTGACTTTGTTCTCCAACGCGCAGTGCCGTGGACTACAAACCACGTGCTGTACGTTAAGAGCGTTCGGAAGAGCATAGCGGTTCGAATATACCCCTGCAGGCTGTTTATCAGCTCAGGCATACATCATCATGATCATCATCACGATCATCACCATCGATATGAATGAATCAAGAGGCTGATTCGCTACGGTGTTCGCAGAGGCGCACGCAGAATTCCGCAATGGTGGGGAAAAGGTGGCCAAACTTATGTGTTCCGCGTATAGTTGACCCGATGGCTGGCCTGTCCGTGGCATCACTGCACGCGCAGCTACATTTTTCAAAAATCGCGAACTTTCGAAGCATTTGAAACTTCCTGCTCAAAGACGCGTTCAGCGGTGGCTGGTAGTGATGTGCTCTGATCACTGTTCGCGGTGTTCCAGACTGATACTGCTGTGCAACGCGGGAAAGTGGACCCGATCTACCCTCATCAGTCGGTTGAATGCTCTGGCTGCTGATGCTAATGATTGTATTTTCATTCGCAATTAAGTTGTCATGTCCATTTGCGTTTGACTGCGCGTGCGATGCAGTGTTTATCAGTGGCTATATCGCCGAGGAAGGCATGATCGTCCGGCCATGCTGGGCTACTTACCCAGCGCTGACCTGAAGGGCACAACAGAATTATAGGAGATAAGACAGTAGTATTAGCACTATTCCTCGTAAAAACCAGGAGAATGGAGATATAGTTAGGTTGATATTTCGGCAGCATGCCTTTATCGAAACAATAGCAGAAGAAGCTTTTTACGAGGAATAAGGCTGATCCTACTGTCTTATCTATGTTAATAATGTTCCTCGCTCGTGCACCGGACAACTTACGTAAGAATTGTGGGAGGATGGATGCGAGTGCTGCTTTTTGAGTTGCATAACACTGCTAAGAAGCCTTAGAGATTTGTGACCTGTATAGTGATTTCTTTGGAATGTCAAACGCGTATAAAATAATTTATGAAGCACTATTTCATTGACGACAGCTGGTCGATGCTTCTTTGCCATTCGTCCACCCGCTCTCATCTGGCATAGTCGCTGATGATCCGCCATAGCTAGAGCTGTTCGGAATCGCTGGCGCACAAGTAGATATTTAATCTCGCATCCAGCCTTACCCACTGCATAGGTATGACAGAATTTTGCGAGAATCTGGGCTGACCAGACTGAAATGCGTCCGCCGGCTGCCGGACTTAGGCTGTACTCACCATTATTTGCCGTTTGCAAGTTTTTGAAGTTAGAAGGCTTGTTTGACCCCAGCGCCAAGTCACGCCTCGTCCACGCACCGTGCCGCCCAGACACCTGGCGCGCTGGAAACGGAGTCACGCAGCTCACCCCGAAGCCCGGGGGAGGAATGCGGCCAGGGTCACGACAGGTAGCGCTGGAAGTGTGGTCAAGACAGACCACTGTGGGGAGAGAGCTCGCGGCGCCCCCGAGGACCCCACCGCAGCGGACCCGGTCACCAACTGCCCCACGCCGCACGCCCGACCACCGCACTGTACCGGGGTCGGTCACCAACCGCCCCCACGCGCCACTCACGGGGTCTCGACCGCCGCCGGCCGGAACCGGAAGGGCGGCGGGCTGGCGGCCGAACGGGTCGATGTGGCGGCCGTCGCCAGGCCCGGTGAATGTTTCAGGCCCGTGAGAGCGTCCCTGGTCGGCCGGCCGGCCAGGGCGGCACCGCCTGGTCGCCCTCTGGCCAGCGACGTGTGGAGGGCGAGCCACGTCCATGGCTGGCGAGTTAATGTCAGGGACCGTGATCTGCACGGCGTGCAGGCTGGTCTGTGGCCGTACTAACCCAGCCAAGGTGAATCAACGATCCAAACACACTTTGTCGTCTAACCTGATTCCTTTGGTTGCTAGACAGATTCTTTGCTGCTGCTGGTGTGAATTTTTGTCATTTAGTAAGTTGTGCATATTCAGTGCATAAGCGAGGACATTATTCACGTAGGTAAGACAGCAGTAGTGGCATCATTCCTCGGATAAAAACCAGTAGAATGGAGATATAGTTGGGTTGATATTTCGGCAACATACCTTTATCGAAGCAATAACAGAACACTAGACTAGACTACACTAGACTTCTGCTATTGTTTCCATAAAGGCATGTTGCCGAAATATCAATCCAACTATATCTTCATTTTCCTGGTTTTTATTCGAGGAATGAGGCTAATACTATCGTCTTTTTGTCCATGAGTTGATGATGTAGGAGCGAAACTATGTACGTATACATCCGTCCACCATTGTCGGTTCCAAACGATGCGGATGGATCCAGGCAAGCACTCTCCACCCAGCAAGGCAGAAAAGGCTCCTGCTGGAGCAAGAATGCGGGACACATTTCATCAACATCCGCCGGAAGGGCGGGGACTTAACTCCTGCCGCGAGTGAGCAATCCCAGTAAAATACTTGACTCGGTTGCAAGCAGAATGAACTAGACTCACGAAAAGCAACGCTATAGGTTCATGCCCTGTGAGGAGCGTGACCTGTGCAGTGACAGGTATGCAAGGATGACGGCAGGTATAAGCTGTCCAGTTCACACACACAGATCATGAAATCACGTGCCAGCGATTTGAGTCGGGCGTGAGCAGCGGTAGTTCATGTACGGCATCGCTCTACAATACTGACTGCTGACACCGCACCATGCCCGACCGACTCTTCCCAGAGGAGTGATATACAACTGTTACATCATTTCTTGTCTCCATGGCTCGCCCGCATTCAGACCATCAGTGACAGCTGCTTGCTCCCACAATACGGTCGTTCAGTGTCGGTGCTTGTGTATTTATGCAACTGGCTTCTTAGCTGAAGGCAACCAGATTGTTAAGAGCGACCCGTTGCAAAGTAGAAGCTTAAAATGGCTTAGGTTGAAATCACTACGGCCGTATCAAGCAAAACAACTTCTTGCCTATAACTGGTATTTTATTGAATTTTGCTTATGAGCATTTGCATGATATTTCAAAGATCATTTCACTGCAGTCACAAGGAAACAATTTTAATGTCGCTAGTAAATATGAGAAAATGTGGGACACAGCGTAGAAATAGAAAACAAATGATCACGGTTCGACGACAGGCTGTCGACTACGACCACATCATCTCCAGTCCAAGTTCACGTTGCTGGACTTAGCTTGAGATGAGCAAACAAGAGCACGACAAATGGATTAGCTCCAGATTTCAGTGCATTGTCAGCGCCGACCAATCACACTGCTGCTCCCACCTACGCGCTCGTGAGCACCGCATCTTCGCCGTCCCCACGACGGTCCCCTTGGGGCCTCTCCTCCACCCGGAGCGCCTCCTCCGACCAGCAGCTCCCCCAGCGACCCCGCCGCTCGCGCTCCGTCGTTACCACGTACGTGCCGTCCCGGCGTCCGACCGCGGCAGCGCCGGCGCCGGCGGGACGGAGCCGCCGGCACCGGCGCTGCGCGAGCCCCGCCGCCGGGCCCAGGTCCATCACCAGCAGGTTCTTGTGCACGAAAGAGACGCGGCTTGGCGACTGCGTGGCGCGGCTGACCAGCCTGCCGCCCTCGGTCGCCACGCACTCCAAGCCGCAGCGGCACGTGGGCGGCCCGTGGCTGCGCACGCCCGTCACGTGTACGGCATGCTGCTCGTGCAGCTCGTAGAACACGTCATGGCTGCTATGGCGCTCCGGCAGTCCGTCGGCGTCACCGCGCTCGGCCGCCACCGCGCCGGCGCTCGCCGCCTCCATCGGCTCGCTAGAGCCGGACTCTGACCCTGACTCGCCACGCAGGCTGACGGTCGCGTCGCTGGTGTTGCGCCTCGCGGTCATCGGCTCCGACGCGTCCGGCGGCGGCGCGGCGCTGGCCGCGGAGGGCCGCTCGGCTGGGGCAGCGCCAGAGGTGGGCGAGGCGCGCCTCAGGTTACCGCTCTCACACGGGTGCTGTTCGGAGTCGGTCGGGCCTGTGCCGCCAGAGCTCGGCGGCTGGCTGGGAACAGCCTGACCAGAGGGCGACACGTCCGGGACGGAGTTGCCCGCAGCGGAGCCTCGCTCCTGTCCTGAGGTGGCCGGGTCTTGCCTGCCCCTGTCCGGCTCTTGGCTGGGGACTGTCGGCTGCCCGTCCGGGGACGAGTCGCCAGCCGTCCGGCCTCGCTCCTGCCTCAATGCAGGCTCGGCCGAGCTTTGACCGGCGTCCTTTGTCGCGAGTGCGGCGACAGTCGGACAGAAAGGCTGTGACGCCGACGCGCCCTTTTCACCTGTCTGACACTCCATCGAGGGCGTCCAGCGGATCTGGAACTTTGGCCGCGGCTGAAAACCATCCCGGCAATCGTCACATAGGACGACATTGGCACTGCATGGGACTGCAATAACGCTACGTTACACTGCAATGGCGCACTGTGCCTTTGATGTCGTCGACAATCACACAGCACGTCACCTTTTAGTATCTCGAACTACGCAAGTGTTTTATTAGCGAGGTACTTAAAAGGTATAAGAAAAAGGCTGTAAGAAGACTTCCCCCCCATGGCGCTGCAATTATGAAACTGTTTTGCAACCAAAGAGTCGAACCCTGTTCGCCTCATCGTATCTCTTCTCGTTACTTAATGACACGTCCCTACTAGCAGACGACTAGACGCTCGTGAGGGACGCACGCTGTGAGAGGGTGGGGCGCTAGCCGGGCAATGACGGAACGGCACGAAGGTACGCTGCCTGACTGCGGTCCGATTCTGTCGCGCCAGGCGCTCCGCGTACTCCAGCTGTCTCCTCATCTTGTCTTGCTGAAACATCCGCCACCGGTCAGCCTTCTAGTCCCGCTCGGCCGATTCAGGGCCGGCTTAACTGTTAAGAGTGAGAGCAGGGCGCAGTCGGGCTGAGCTGTCGGCGGGTGGGAGAAGGGCACAGTCGGGCTGAACTGTCAAAAGGTGGGAACAGGGTGCAGTCGGGCTGAACTGCCGACGAGTGGGAGGAGGGCGCAGTCCGGTCTGATCTGTCGTAGGGTGGGAGGGGCCAGTCGGCTGAACATGTCAAAAGGTGGAAAGGTGCAGTCGCGAGCTGGAGAGGGGCGAGGGGCGGGGGGGGGGGTGTGGGGGGGAACGGGTCGGGAACTGCCGAAGTGGGAGGAGGCGCGTCGGGCTGAACGTGCGATGGGAGGAGGGCGCAGTCGAGCTGAACTGTCAAAAGGTGGGAACAGGGTGCAGTCGGGCTGAGCTGTCGACGGGTGGGAGAAGGGCACAGTCGGGCTGAACTGTCGACGGGTGGGAGCAGGACACACTCGGGCTGAGCTGTGACGGGTGGGAGAAGGGCACAGTCGGGCTGAACTGTCGACGGGTGGGAGAAGGGCACAGTCGGGCTGAACTGCCAAAAGGTGGGAGGAGGGCACAGTCGGGCTGAACTGTCAAAAGGTGGCAGCAGGGCACAGTTGGGTTAAACTGTCGAAGGGCAGAGGCAGGGCATAGTCGAACTTTACTGTCGACGGGTGGGAGCAAAGCGCAGTCGAGCTATTATGTCGACAAGTGGGAGCAGTGCACGGTCGGGCTCTTTCACCTCAGGCATGGAAAGGGAAACGGTTGTGTGCAGTCACGCTTGCGCGCAAAATCAATCATCGAATTTCGGAACGGATCGGAGTCGAAACGTTACAGGAAATCCCAGTCACAAACAAGGATGCGCATCTTCAAATCGACACTCATGCACGTGTTGCTGCCAAGCCTATATTGACAGTTATATCGCGTTTAGTCATATATATATATATATATATATATATATATATATATATAAGTGTGTGTGTTGGAATATTTTCGCAGAATTCTTTCTTTGATACATGTTTGATTAAAAATAACTGCTGACTCAGCATTGACGAGCTTTTTGATGCGTCGTTCTAGTTTCCGGGCCTTTGACTTTGCGTCATCGCTTAGATTAAAGATGGCTCGCACAAAATTACTCATATATTCATCACTCCTTTCATTCTAACGTTTCGAGATCTTACCTCATGTTCGGAGAAGACTAAATTGCACAAGAAATAAGTTTTGAGTTTTAAAGGATGAAAAATTGTGCACTACTGTTGGTGATGAATATATGAGTGATGTTGTGAATAAAAATGTTGAGTGATTTATATGAATATATGAATATATGAATATATGAGTGATGAATATATGATGAGTGATGAATATATGAGTAATTTTGTGCGAACCATCTTTAATCTAAGCGATGACGTAAAGTCAAAGGCCCGGAAACTAGAACGACGCATCAACAAGTTCGTCAATGCTGAGTCAGCAGTTATTTTTAATCAAACATATATATATATATATATATATATATATATATATATATATATGCTCTGCTTCGCCAAATCTGACGTAAAATGTCAATATTCTGTCATGGGGCGTTTCAGTTTTGCTTGCACCTGCTCCAATCTGGCCTTTTCTCCTTTTTTATTTTCTTTCTTCGTTCTCTCCATATCCTATCGTAAAACTAATGATCGACACATGTGCATTGGTTGCGGGATAAGTATTTGCAGGCCAACCCCCGATGTCTTACCGAGGGGGGTCAAGCCTAAAGGACCAGTTAGTGCATGCAAAAACAAAAAAGACTGAACGGTCCGGCGAGGGGCAGATAGGAGTGCGAAAAACTGCATAATCTGTCGGCGCATTTGTCAGAGCATGATTTAGTAAGCAACACAAAAGGAACGCAAAATTTTGCGTACGTATGATCAAACGATTAGATGTAAAACAAGCAAGGTCATATATGGTGTTCACTGTCATGCGTGTGAATGTGAACGTTACATCTGAAAGACCCCTAATACTTTATCTACCCTTTCGGCAAACCATTTTTCAACTATCAAAACAGAGGGAGCATCAATAGTCCACTCTGTATCCATCCACTTCAACTTATTGGAACACTCGATGCATGATGCAATATTGGTTGGCCTGGGAAGGGTGTGGCGCAAAAATGTGATGTATAGGAGGTTCAGAGGGTGAAAGTGGGTTTGTATGCTGAGAGCAACACATCTTCGAGGGGGTTCAACGGAAAAACCGAAATGTAATGTGCGAAATGTGTCAAAGACGCAACCTATAAAGGGCACTATCTCACAACCAGTTTGCATGCGTCGATTATTAGTTTTGTGATAATACGTAGACAGAACGGATTGTCCAGACTGAAGCAGGTTTCGAAAGAACTGATGCGTCTCACTTCAGAATGTTGGTATACATATGTATATGCATATACGCATACGCATACATACGCGTGCATATATGCATATACAAATATATATGATATATATATATATATATATATATATATATATATATATATATATACATATACATATATATCGTGTTCAGTGATGTTGTTACAGTGAGTACCCATGCTTCTCTGACAGGCGTTTCCCACCCATTATTGTGTAGCCGGCTGCCCGACACGGCATCTCTCAGCCTCACAGCCGCCCATGCATCAGCCACCGGCACAGACCACCACCAACAGCTGACCCTCTGTTTGACGAGGTCCGGGTCGGGGCCCAGCAGACCGAGCCGGATGTACTGGCGCGGGTACGGCTTCAGATTGGGGCGGAACGCCACCGGATCGCCGGTCGCCCGCCGCTGCGGCGAGCGGGGGCTCGTGGCGCGTGCTGCTGGCGCGCCGGCGCTGCCGTTGGCGGGAGCCTTCTCCGGCGGCGCAGGGGCTGCCGAGCTCCCGTTGACAGGGCGGGGACTGGTGACCCGCCGCTCCGAACGCTTCGTCTTCAGTACGTGTGGAAGAGTAGGCGTCTGGGGGTAGATGCAGCTGTTACATGCGTTTGGGTATAACTGCAACGGCCTCGCTTATCGAGGGACTGATGCACGTGAATAAGCTCTCATTTTTGGCTGCATTTGTGGCATTTTAGGTAAAAGCGTGGCCAAGGTTCCAGAATGTCGTCCCGTTTCTACAGTACACATGAAACAGCCAAGCATTGACGCTCGCCGGACAAGGAACGGCATCAGGCGCTGCCATGATATTCTACGGGAGTAACGTAGTCACCAAACACAGGAAGTTACCGAACGTGTCACCTAGTGAGTTGCCAACATTTTCACGCATTCTGTACAATTGAAATATCGCTGCCGTCATAGCCTAACGCCTTCCTGCATGTGTTTGTTGCATCTTATCGGATCGCTTGATGATGAAGTCCTGACAAGTGCAGCCAGTCCTGGCGATCAAAAGTGAAAAAGGGTAAGTGCGCAGAATGAAAAACATGGGGGGATATTTTGTACCTTTTTGACCCGATTTTGAATGTCTTACTGAATTCTAGCCATTGTGTGGTGTAGTCTGACTAGCGTTGCCAGTGCTTGTTAGGTGCCGTTCCATCTTCGAAAATTGAGATGACAGATTAGGATGGGGTGGCGCAGCGCATTCTGCTCGCACTTTGATTCATATTTTCTACTTGTGAACACTATCCCTCGCCCTGCGAGCAATTTTCACCTTCGTCGTCGCACCAGGGCATTGGAGGACCCCTAGGATACAAGAAGTCAGCAAGCTAGAGTTATGGAGAAAACGGAGCTGAAAACACTCCTCAAATTATACCACATAGGTGTGACTAACCGATGGTGAATGCAAACTATGCCGTGAAGTTACTACATAGGGGTTAAATTAAGACTTTTTATGCCTCTCCTTCTAGCAACATTGTAAAAAAGGCGCTCCTAGGTCTCAGCTCATAGTTCATAGAAAACTAACTCAGAAGAGCACTAGTGGCGATCGACAGATGTGACCTGAACTTTGTCACGTCAGGTCCAACGGGAGGGGACTATTGTTGCATCGACCCGTCCGCTATATGAGGAACTAAACAAGCCACATTAATGGGGATTAAATCGTTGGAAAGCTTTCCACGTGTATAAGACGTGCGAAAATAGGATTTAAGTAATTTCTTATTCCATGAGTCAAGTCTGGTCAAAAATATCAAAATTTGACCTATCTTTACCTTTAATGACATAGCCTTACGACGACAGCCAGAATGATGGTAATCTTGTTCATACTGGTAGCATTAGATTCATAATTTAAGCCGTCTAGAAACTTCTTTGGAGTGCATTTGCTGCGAAATCCACTCCAAGTGTGCAGCGCCGTTTGTTACCTCTGAGCAAAATGCTATCAAAATGACCTCAAAGAGAAATAAAGGCTCAAGATTTAAGCACCATGCTCACAACCATTTAAAAGTTGTTCACCAAAACACTTAGAGAAGCTCTTCAGGCGCATCCGATTAACTGACCGCTATCTGTTTCGTACGCTCATTTGAACATACGTACGTACGCAGCCTAAGGGGCAGGACATGGGGATATAACCCCTCAGTCAAAAAGTTTACACCACATACTGGGCCCTTTTGCATGACTGCGGTCCAAATTCACAGGAGTTCGGAGAAACTATGACATTTATCCCCCTCCCCTCTTTCTCCGACGAAGATGTTTGCTTGTTGCCTGTTTGAACGTGTTATGACAGACACGGTGACGTGTCTCTTACCTTGCTTCGCTTGCCTTCTGAGGAAGTTGAACTATCTTCGAGTAAGATCAGGCATGGCTTGCTTGCACGATGGTACTGGTGTTCTAGGAGTGTCGGGGCACTCTGCTCCATCTGACGGGATTAAAGACCAACGTGTATTCAGCGACAAGCGTGAGCCGTGGCCTTGGTGCAGCCGGACCACCATGCGTGCCGTCGGGGCTTTACGACGTGAGCAGCTGCTGAGGCTATGTGCCGTCGCCTACCTCTCTTCCCGGCAGGACAGCTAGGCAACGTGGGGAATCTGGTTTTCCAGACGCACAGCTTAACCAGTACACTGTCGAGAACCCTGTTCCCTTATGAGAGCTATCAAGGGTGGATCCAAGGGGACGGGTAACCGGGTTATACCCCTATCCCCCCTCTCCATCCAAGACGGTCGTATTCGGGTAGCAAATAACACTTTATGGACTCTGGAGAAAATCCCAAAAGTTTTAATTGGAAAAATATGCTTTAGACTCTATGACGTACAAAAAAGGATTCACGTAAGTCATTGAAAATCGAGAAATCCTTTATATTTTGGCGTCAAGTTGGGGTCAAAATAAAAAAAGGACGGGAGCCCCCACCGAAAAAAGACAGATTCCCCCGCCAACGCTGCGTTGGTATCTGCCTTCAAACGTTATACGCCAGTGCCACGTAAAAATAATCATGAGAGTCTTGCGATAAATGGCGCGCAAAAGTTTTCTCAACGCTGCGTAATAAGATGGCAATGCAGGTACAGTAACTAATCGGCCAATGAGACTTAATTGACAGCGCGCCACTCTTCACCGCCCCGAAGAAAGTTACATTGCATTGCTCGGGTCTTGGAGGATGTCTTGACACATTTCCAGTGAAGCACGTAAATATAGGCTTTGGGTAATTGTCCTCACCAATCGAGCGTTGTCATTGACGTCAATCATCGACCACTGGGACGGGCCTAAGGGCGGTCGGGCGATCTCGCAGGTGCCACTGCTGCAGCTGCTAGCGATGTCCGACGACCACTCTCCTGCCATCTGGCGGCCCGGTTTGGAACCTGCCGAGCTCGCTCGCATCGGGATCCGGCTGCCGACTGCGCGGAGCGCGATGGTAGCGCCATCTTTATCTTTGATTGGAGGTAGACAGGAAGATAGAGGACGTGACGGGCGCGGCGGTGACGAACTGGGCCGAAAGCCCTGGCACCGGATGGGCAAGTTTGCATTGACGGCGGGGAACCTCGACGGTCTGGGGAAGTCAACCGAAGGGGTTTTGCCTGGGCTGCTTTCGCTAGAGGCATTGCCGGCGTTCCTTCTCTCCAGCTGACGTCGATCGTACTCCTCGCGTCTGTGTGTCTTGCCGTCTTGTGCAGCGGAACCCACCCGTTCAGTGACTGCCCGGCGGCTGCGGACGATAGTTTGAGAACTCTGAGCGTCGGAATGCGTGAGATTTTTCTCTCCCGGCACGCGCTGGTTTTCTGTCCTATCCACGGTCTGATGGATAACATTGCTCTTATTGCTCGCTCCAGAACGCCGAGACAAAAGCGATGTTGCAGCTGCTGCTGTAGGAGGAGGAAGTTTAGAAATCCCAGCAGAATTTGTGCTGTTAGAGCCAATATTTTTGCCAGATGGCTTCACTAGTGAGCGTTTGGCTACAACTCGCAATGGAGAATGCGATTGCGCTATTTTCTTTTCGGCTAGCAAACTTCTTTGATTTTTGAAGCGTATTATGCTTCCTTTTTCTTCGGGTGATTTTGTGTTCTTTTCTTTTGTTTCATCAAAATGTTCTTTGGCATGTTCAAATTTTTCATCTTGAGAGTCATCGTCGGAATCGATTGCAGCTTTTGGTGCATCCATCGGCTGCACGGACGGGCAGGTGGGGTATAATGTGCTGTCTAATTCACTGGCAGATTTGACGGAACTGGCTAATTCATTCGAAGTATCCACAGGTCGTACATCACATAGCTCATCTGTTACTTTACCTGCCCCTTTTAAGGTATCTGCAGAACTCTCTGAAAAACAATCACCTAGAACCTTGTTGTCATGGTAAAATGCAATGACACCAGGCATTGAGTGATAAACACCCGATGGACTTCCTATTACCATTACAGTGCGTTGAGGCAATACTGATCTTAGATTTCACAATAGGTCATAGATAGAGAAGTCCATGAACTGCATGCTCAAATCTTAATTTATAAGGTTAAATTTTCCATCACTGTAATTTAGTGTCCGAATTGTTGGGGCCGTAGTGGTTGTGGTAAATAACGTCTGCAAATGAGCATCCTAGCCATAATTTTTTAATAGCATGAGGCACAATTGTAATGGTATTCCCAGTAGGGTGAATTTAGGGACTACGGGCAAGACATGAATAAATTCAGGCCGGCTCTACTGCACCTTAACATGACTGCTGATGTCTGCCGAAGTTCGCTGCCGGATGCCACTTAAGATGCTAGTGACGACGATTGGCCAAAACCCGAAACACTTTAGCCAGGCGTGGTTAGTTGTGATGCCTTTCGTCATGGTTGTACGGTAAATCGAACAGACATGTGTGGGAAGAGTGGAGTGCGGATGGACACTACCCGCCACCCACAAAGGTACAACAAGATTCGAGAATGTTAAAAAGGGCGATTTAGATGAGAAACAACATTATGCGAGATTGAAGCCATTTCTTGGGCACCGCATGTTATATCGAAAATGATTCGCTGAGCCAAGTCTTGCTTCAAAGCGTGCCAGGAGCATATTCCCGAGAACCTTGCCCATAAGTTCACAGCCAGTTTCTCGCCTATGCGCACCGTCCTGCAAGAACTATCCAAACCAACACTTTTTCGGCCATGCAAAGCGCAAGAGGCTCAATAATGTGTAGGTGCTCAGCGCTCTCAGATCTTGGATCTTCCATTGGACCCGATCCAACGGGAATGACTCTGAATCGCTACAGAGTCATGATCCTGCAGGAATGACTCTTACCTGCAGGAATGACTCTTACAGGAATCACCCAACTCCGCATGACCTGGACTATTGGGGTTTGATAGGGGGTGAATTTTAGTTTAGGTACATCAGTCATTCCCATTCATATGATTAACTTTCTGAGCTTCTCAAAACCTGTAACATCGACACCTGTCTCCAGGCTTATCTCAAACCGACCGACATGTTACAATATCTCAGCTAAATAACTCAAGACATCTAGGACCATGTTACATGCTCATACTCATAGAGCAGTCACAGTCTGGGCTTTACAGCCGACTGAGACCCTTTGTGGCGCATTTCAGCAATTTGTGGTTGCGCTGGCGGAATGAAAACGTGATGTATGTTAATTGGCTCAAATGTGCAGACATGGTGGCGGTAGGTAAAAAAATGAATGTCAAGAAAATTTGTATGGTTATAAGACGAGAAATAAGTCAGTTAAAACCCAGAGGTAGCATGCAAGCTCAACTTGTGATGTCTTTCTCTATCGCAGCTATCGTGCACCAGATTTATAGCGACAACTTGCATCTTAATAGAATCAATGGTTGCGCTTCCAACAACACGCTCTTGCCGATACAAGGTCAACTTTTAGAGCCCACTTTTGCATGTTTTCGAAATCATCTCATAGCGTTAAGTCATGATAGGCTTCTTCAGACATTTCAACGCATCAGTCACCTTTGGTTATCTGTAATGACCTATACAACGGTAGATATTTGCTCTAATTTCTTCAAGATTTTAAGCAAGGTGCAAATTGAGCAATGCTAATGCTATTTTATTTGCATTTTGCTGTGTTGGATAAAATCATAATGCTCATTGTTTTATTTAAATAATGTTTTCCTTTTTAAAATACTGGCCTGGTTACGCCCAAAAAACGTACACAGTACGACATGCCTGAGCCAGTCTAAGGCTATGCTTTGGGTTGAAAGTTTTGGCTGGAACCACGGTTTTAGCAGAATGTATGCCGTAAATCGACACCTTAAACCCTTTGATCTAGTTAAAAGCACCCCCATTTCAAACTCACGCATGTCGGGGGTTGTGGCGGCGATAGGAGTGAGCGCCAAATTCATGGGCTGCTTGAGCATTTTGTTAGTCTGGGAGGATGTTGAAAAATGGCATGCACAAGCATGCCCACGCCTGAATAGCCAGCTCTCGTTTCTGTGCCTAACCTCCCCAGGAGGCTGGTTAAGAGAAGGGTCTTACTAGCCCCCTGGGGCTGGGTAAGTCCTTAAGGTCGCCACTAAAAAGAAGGACCTGAACTATACTGTATAATGTCCATCATCTTTTGCTGCATAATGTTGCATTCACGTATGAAGTGCCAAAAACAAATTCATTGATGTGAGTGGTACGTTTTCATTTCAACTCCTTTAAAGGAAGACAGTGTTCCACCACGTTTGGAAATCCTAAGCTATCGATATAACTCACAGTCACACTTAGCAAACATAACGAAAACATCACATTTAATATCAGAATGTCACAAGTCCGTATGCTCTCACTGGCTGCTTGAGTATAAAGGAAACAATAGTGCTGCAGTTTGTTTAAGTTACAATGCTACTACACAAACAATAAGAAATATGAATAGATCAGCTCCCCAAATTTCTTGCAGCTCCGCTCGGTCCTACCCTGCCTCAGTCGGTAAACGAACGGGAAGTGGCAAAGATCAGCTTCAACGGGCCTAAAGGCTGTCTCCTGTCAGAGGCTCTCCTCAAAGGTCCTGACAGTTCAAAGAAGCTATCCGCATATCGGTGAGGGATTTTGTCTCGCTTTTAGCTTGTACCCTCTGATAAACACAACTGGCACCCAGCTGCCGCCTTTCACCGAGTCTGGCGCAGATGGTGCCTTTCTGCCGCTGATAACAGATCAGTGTTCCGTAAAATGAGCCAGCCTCAGCAGATGCTTGCCACTGGGGGACGGCCGTAGGACATGCCACAGTGCGGCATTGGTGTCACATCGCCACGGTTTCCAATGATGTCAAACAGCGTGGTGGTCCCGGAAAGCACCTGCAGTCTCAGTCGCCGTCTGAGTGGCTTCTGGGACCGACCACATCTGGTGGACAACTGCGTCTGAGTGAAAGGCTGTGGTGAGTTGTGAGCTGTGGTGAGTTATGAGTCGTGCTGAGTTGTGAGCTGTGAGCCGTGTTGAGCTGTGAGCTGTAAGTCGTGCTGAGCTGTGACCCATGAGCCATGCTGGTCTGGGAGTTTTGATGAGCTGTTTGTTCTGTGGCATTGTGACCAGTGACGTGTCATGAACTGTGCTGATTTGTCATTTGTTTCATTTATTTTTGGGTTGTCATGTGCTGTAAAACCTGCGGGGCAAGTGTTGTGTCGAGTTATCAGTTACGCTGGGTTAGTTGTGCCAACCTGTAGGTTGTAGTGAGCTGTGAGTTTTGCTGTAGCGTGAGTTGTCCTTAGTTGCGCCCCGTGGTAAGTTACGCGTTGTGCCGATCCGTGCAACGGATTGGACGCTAGCTCCGCATGTACTGTGTAAAGCTGGCGTTCAAATCAAAACAAGAGAAACATGATCAAATGGACGTTACGCTAGACGAAGGCAGGGTTAAGCAGCCCCATGTACAAAAAGCTGAATCCTCTTCCAGCTCAAACAGTCGCATGCCGGAATATGCCTTCACCCGATCTGTCTGCCTGCGCCTTTGCACACAGCTCAAACAGTCGCATGCCGGACTTTGCCTCCACTCGGTCTGTCTGTCCGCACCTTGGAGGGATTCCATCACTTTTAGCAATCTTGTCCACCTGGTCAAGTCGCGTTTTTTATTCTAGTCTACATTTCATGTGGCTAGTGTTGACTGATTTTGTTCCGAAATGGGGTAAGGTGATACACTGTGACGTTTACCAGGCCTCTGGCGGCTGCTGTACTCTGCTCCTTCCGTCGTTTTTGCTAACCCTTATATTGGCACACTGAGTCGCCGCAGGTCGCTGGGGGGACCGTGTTAGGTTTCATTCGAGGCATCACTATCTCCTTGCTGCTGCGCCAGCGGCTCGTTGGACGCTGTTATCCCCTGAGGCATCACCAGGTTCGTTTTCTTTTGTTGTTGTCGCCACTCGGGCGCCAATCTGAACAATTCATGAGGACGTTGCCATCTCCCAGACGTGGTGCCAGCACGGTACGGCGCGGGGACGGGCGCCGGGCGCCGGGCGCCGAGCTCTCCGCTGTACTAACAGCCCATGAGGCACTGAAGTCACCGGGTGTTAGCGGCCGATGGTGGCGCTGCGGTCGCCCGGTCGCCGCGCCGCGTCCGACTGGCCGTCAGTCGACGCTGGCCTCCGCACGAGCCTGGGTCGCGACGCCGGCTGTCGGAGCTGCCGCGCGCGGGTGACGGACGTGACGGCAGCTGCAGCTAGTCGCGCTGAGCAGCTGGCAGCTGACGGGCCCGGACAGCTGGCACCTGGCGAGCTCGTCTGAACGCGCGGGACGGAGTCGGAGTAAGCTGTCAGAGGTGAGTTTTGCGCTGCCTGATGTAACCGGTCGGCCATGAGGCTAGCTAATAAACCGTCCGCTGGGCCTCATTGCGAGTTTTTACCGAGCAATGGGTAAAGGGAAGAGACATTCTTGATGTGTGAGCAAAGGTAAAGGCAACGTTGTGAAACCCTCGCCTGCGTCGCTAGTTGTTTGCGAAGCTTCGGAGAAGTCGAAAAAGTTTGCGAAGCTTCGGAGAAGTCGAAAAAGTTTGCGAAGCTTCGGAGAAGTCGAAGAAGTTTGCGTTTGAAGCTTAAGATTTAAAGTTTAAGAGGGTTGCAACGAATGAAGGTGGCAAGGTTGTGTGAAAGGACAACATGGTTTGTTTTACATCGCTTCGATCCAGCAACTGTAGACCATGTGAAATGAGTCACTAAGTCATAAGTGTTCAGGCGGATGCATATTCGGTATACGTTTTTGTGTGGAGGAATATATGATTTCTGGCTCCCACTGGGAACTCGTTTGAATTGCGTTGTAAGCACTGCGCACTGCTTCTAACAAATTCTAGCTTTGTCCTGTTGTGCTTTGGGTCGCAGTTTTTATGTGGCGGCAGCTTCGGGGAGCAAATTTCAAAACACGTTTGATATTATTTTTGTGAGAGAATTTGCCAAAGTGGTTTTCTACGGTGACATTGGCATCGCCATGCTTGTTAAGAGCAAATCATTTTTAAGGCTACTAACCCAATACCCTTGGGAGAATTTCATGGCAACAGGTAACTTTTACCGACAATATTTCTATGTGGCACGTAGGTCATCAACACAGCGGTCCATTTGAAACCTTGCTCTCATGGCAGTTGCCATTTAAGTGACAAAATTCGCGCCTTGCAGTGCAGGTTTTAGCCACGAATTCACATATTTGTCGCACGCTTATCAGAGTGCCAGAGCGTTGCTGCTTTAACTGAACTGCAGGGACAGCATAACAACGCCTTTAGACTCTGTGATAACAATAGCCTGGACGTAGTAAATGGACCGCAATTTTGAACATATCAGTTGTATTTGGACATTTGTGTGGTACTTGAACGCAACGAAATGTGTGCGTGTGGTAGTCCATATGGCATCAGATGTTCTGCAGCGTACCTCAAACAAAAATTATCGTTGCACACAGCTCCCAACACGAAAACTATGGCTGTAGCTGCCGCTGTGGACCTATGCTTGGTTGGTATGCTTGGTTGACGTTATGAATCCATGCTTGGTTGATTTTCCTAACCCACCGGCCCAACCCTGCCCTCTGCACCGTTCCTTACTCTCTTTCTGCTGCATGCGCCAATGAGCAACTGAACAGCTTTTAGCAGCTACTGGCAGCTTTACCTTACCTTATCACATGACAGTTTTACCGCCTGCCTGCACGCCACCGCCATTGCCTTCCTCAGTTGTCTAAGACCACGGCGCTCCACGCCTGGCTGGCACCACTCGCCCCCCCCCCCCCCTTCAACAGGCCTCCTCCGCCTGGCTCGGGCGGTCACCGCTCTCTGGCTGTTGGGGCCCATAATTCTCCACGACTCACTGGTACTGCAGCCTTTGTTGTGTGGTGGTGTCATGTATAACGTTCGTGTGAGTTTAATCTTCTTTTTAATTGGAATTGGGATTTAATTTTAATTTGGTATCATATTAGTAGTGAGGCGCCAGCATCTACATTAAGTAAGGATTGCTCGGGTTTTCCCAATCATTTTATGGTATTAAATGTTCGGCGCCGGCCTGTCAATCTTAGCTGACACATAAATTGTCGCCTTTCCGAGATTGCCATCTGGGAACACCCCGTAAATGGCTTCATAAATCTGGAAACACAATATGTAAGGACCGATTATAAGCAATTCTGACACAACTTGTTCGCATCGCTTTTCTTTTGTTTGATATGACATGCTTGAGACGCATCACCGCTTCACGGGCGACCGTAATAATTGTTTTGGAAAAGTCGGCCCGTCAGCGCGGCCTGCTCTTCCTCCGTGACGGCGCGCATAAATTCCGAATCGACGCAGCAAATGACAGCAGCCGAGAGAAACGCTAGGCGCCACGAGCCATTACTCGATTCCATGGGCATTAGCCATGCAGATGAGCAGACAGGACCGCCGCAGGAGCTCCGCCGCGGCCCTGAGACGCGGCCGTACCGGCGGAGACCGGCCGATCCCGGCACGACAGCGGTGTCCGCTACGGCCCCGACGGCGCCTGACATCGCCGCCGGCCACGTCGACGGCTGCCCCCACCCCACACCCACCACAGCAGCCGGGAGGTGACGATGGGCCGGGGCAGACGCTCTGTATCTGCTCACACGGCCTAGCCGGCGGCGGCGACGGCGTTTCTCCAGCCGCGCGCCGAGACGGCGGCGGCGGCACCGCCGGCGGCCGCCGCGTGGGTGTGCGCCAAGGCTCGGGCGTCCCACATAGTGCAGCCGGGGGCCAGGGGCGGTGCGCGCCGGTCGCCGGTCCTTGGCGGCCGCAAAAACTGTCCTTGGCTGGCGCGGCTGGCCCTCCGCCACGCACCGGGCGCGTCCGCCCGTGGAGCCCGTCAGGTTAGGTTAGAGGTCTTCAGAGAGGTGTGGCGTGCTCTGGCTGAATGGTGGGAGCTTAGAGGTACGGTGGGCAGGCTGAATATGCGGTTGGATGGGGAGCGCATGACAAAGCCAGTCTGGGCAAATAGGTGGCTCGCAGGAGTGGAGAAGACCGGCAAAACAGAGCCGATGTAAGTGACGAGGCTGATGGCATATGAGGCACGTCGATTCAGACGCAGAAGTTTAGCTGGCTAGGCCTCTGCACTGGTACCAAACGTCTGGCAGCATCGGAACACCGCACTGGTCCAGTCAAGCTGCATATCTAAGCAGACGAGCGAGCTCCATAAGCATCGCGTCCCTGCCCACACATACTGGTATGCTGCCAACCGATAACATTGGCATGGCCTTGGCTGGAGATCAACTGCAGTGGACATCTGCTAAGCTGCAAGGTGGGCTTCTGGTACTTCATGCATTTTGCGCTAACGCAGGATAAAGTAGCATTACTATCATGATGATTATGTTGGCCCATGTTAGCATCATGACGTGTTGTGCAAATAGTAACCACACTCCTCGTGCGGAGTCGCAGAGCGTCTTCTATGTTTTGCTTCCATGTTTCTGAGCACTGCCGTGGTTTTAGTCGGGCGCCTGTGTACTAGCTTGCAAACCAGTCATACTTTTTTAGGTCGCATCTCAGATGTGCATTGTCGACCACTGGTCAGTAAATCACGCCACTTTAGGCGGCCTTGCAACAATTTGGCCGGTGGTTGTATCGAGGCACGTCGCGTTTAACTTAAATAGTGCAATCGGTAGAAGTCTGACGTTGGGTTCGTCAATTATCTACAGTGACGGGACGCAACATGTTTTTAGGCCTTAGATGGTGGCACCTTGTCCATGCGATGCATGCCTGACATAGAAAGTGGTGGCATGATGCCCGGAAAAATATACCAAGAGACATTAAAGCCTGGTAATTGGAAACAACCGCGGCGACTTCCCGACCGACAGATATGGTATCACACTTTTTCAACCCCCATGACTTTCGAACTGCGATACTGACCTGGTTCCTATTCTAGCAAGTTGGCCATCGGGGTGAAAACCGTCCAGCCCCCGTTCAAAGTGACAAGTAGTGCCCATCGGCCACGTCACCGCGTATCCGCCGGCCGCTCACCGCCTGATACACTCCGCTGTGACATGTCCGAATGTGTACTACCCAGCAAACCTTGATCTGACCTGACCTGACCTGACCCGACATTATCTGATCATGCTATCATCATCACAGGTCCTAATCAACTCTGCAAAACCAGCGGTACAGTTTTTTTATGGATGCTGCTCTTGCAGCTGTCGGACACTTCATTGCTGCACAGCTTGAGTGCGGTGCTGGCGGTGATTGAGCCCATTACCATGGACGTAATGTTGGTTAGAAGCACACCCACGTCTCAGGTTGTTCATGTGCGATTATCGCCCCTAGCGATTAGCTTGTTTTGCTTACGTAGTACTGTATTAACTTTGTTGCATGAAGTTGATATGGTGCAATTGCAGGCTTGTCCCGATGGTTGTGGATTTAGGCTCAGGTAAATCTCAACTCTGTACAGAGTATAGTATGTTGTTTAATCAGAGGCGCTAATGCCTATTGTATTGTTGTAGCCTTGAACTAACTGTTGAGATGCTGTCAAATGGATTCACTTGGCCACCATTCCACACACAAAATTAGTGCAGCACAATGCATATCGTTATTTGTTACAGTGGTACCATTTGGGACTATCCTGACTTTCTAAATGAAATGCAATGATATAGTTACGTCTGTAACAGCGTGAGTTTGGTTTCATCAGGATGATATTTCACGTTACGGGCATATGACGGTAATTGATTAGTACCACTTGCTATGTATTTGTCATGGAAGAGGAAGTGCCCAAAATTTGTGTCTAGCCTTGAAAACCGGTCGGTTGCAAAACATCCTGGATTGTGAAGCTTGAGTCAGCATGAAATGATGCAGAAGCACAGTGCGTCGCAACACCCAGTCAATCCATCCAGGTCATGCGATGCGGTTTCATAAGTACTCTTACTTTGAATGCAGCCGTAACTACGATCAAAGCTGGATTGGCATTCACAAGACCGGTCGAGAGCTTTACCTTTTCTAACACAGGTCACCTTAGCGTCTCGTCCCTCTTCCTTACAAACATCCTGGATCTCACGGCGATCTGGAGCCCCTCGTTTTTTATGCGTTGACTACAAATGTGCTCCAGCACCTCTCAAACGTGATTCTGGGCCGGCACTGGACGGGCCACGCTGCAGAAGCGTGGGGCGGTGTAAAATCCTTACCTGTCGATAGCACCTGACAATGTTGATCGCTCGCCGAAAACCCAACAACACCAACAAAAACTATAACCTGCCATGTCGACCTACATGGCGATGTTAATTGAAAGACACCGACCTGTCAGTCCTGACTTAATCTTTACCCGGTACTGGCCTAATGACGCTGACCTGGTATTGCTCATTTGA